CAAGGTGCTGGCTGTCCTCCCGCTGGGAAAAAAACCAGGCCTTAAGGAAGAAGTTTTGCTCTGGCCCCCGCCTCTGCAGATCCCATTGGGTCTGGGGAGGGGAGGCAGCTCTCAGAAGGGATGGGGCATACAAGAACCTGACCCTAAAACAAGCACATACTCTAGGGGGTTCACTGACATGGAAACTTCTGTGTGAGTCATGCCATTTTGATGACTCCTTGAATCTGGCCATGTCCGAGCTCCCAGCCCCCGTGCAGACCTTTCAGTCACCTCCCTCCTGGGGCCATTGTTGAATCTGATAGTGGCAGAGGCAGGGTGCCCTACCCAGCTGCACCCTGCTGGCTCAGCTGGTGGGACCACCCGTGCATCTCTCTCAGCCTGGAGGCATCTTGAAGGGGAGGAGCCCTCCCTCAGGGGTCTTGATTTGTGACGATTATTCACTCTGCTTCTCATGGGGGATAGAGTGGGGATTGGGGGTTCCTATCCTTTCCTTATCCATTGGAGAATCCAGGAATATTCAGGTGGGAAAATATCTAATGATCATGGTAGTCAACCTCCGAGCCTTTTACAGATGAGGAGCTGAGGTCCACAGAGAATGATCTTCCCAGGGCCAGAAACAAGTGGGTGTCTCTCTCCCATTTCAGTTCCCTTGGTGCCCCCAGCATGGCCTGAGTCAGCCGTCAGATGGGCGGGTGGGAGGCCGAAGGTGGATGCTGAATTCTCATCTCACTGTTCCTTGTCCCCTCAAAGCCTTTGCCTCAACTTCCATCCTGTGTGGTCCGGGAACCACGGGCTGGGGGTCGGTGGAGCAGTGAGTACAGTAAGGCCTCTGCCCAAGGGGCTACGCGGCCATAGAGCTGCCAGAGCACACTGTGTATGTCACAGCCGTTCATAACTATCAGGATGTGGGAGCCAAACAGCCTCAGCTGCTGCAGGGAAGGTCACATTCACTCTACCTGGGATCCAGTTTGGAGGAAGTGCCTCTCTGGTGGACTCAAGTGGACTTAACAGAAAGCCATTTACAATGTGGGTTTTCCAGGACACACTAGCTAATGGGGAAAGGGGATTGACATACACTGAGCATCTGCTGCGCCGGGGGCAGCTGGGAAACATTGTCTAATGACAGCCCACAGTAATTCACTCTGCCCATTTTGGAGCTAGAGGACAGGTGCAGAGAGGTAAAGCAACTGGCCCAAAGCCACACAGCCAATGAAAGACAGAAGCCAAGATTTTAACCCAGTCAGGCTTGACTCCAGAGTTCAGGTGAAGCTGTCTCAAGCTAACTGGGGCCTTCTTGGGGCAGGAGCGGAATAGGTAGGAACACTAGAGAGGCTCATCCTGAATCCCAGGACCCTCAGGACGTGGCTTCCTGCCCTCCTTCATGATGCGCCATGGGTATGACAGAGGGGGGCTTTTCACAGGCTGCTCAAACCTTCTACACGCACATCTGGCCACCTCACTCTCCTTCCTGAACACCTGTTGCCCTAGGAGGGAAACTGAAGCTCCTTCTATTGGCCAGCATGCCCCCTGCCCTACTCCTGGCCACCTCTCCTCTTCTCTCACCTCTGTGCCTCAGTTGCTCTGTAAGCCTGAGCCCGTAGCGGTCACACACATGCACTTTAGGACCTGGAACTCCCTCCCTCTATGGTCCCACCACTTCCTGACTAACTTTCCAACTCCCAATTTCTATCCATCACGAGGTCTTGCTTTGGAAGTGGCAGGTGCCTGGGGGCAGGGTGGAAGGCTTGCTTTCCTCTGAGCCCCAGGCCCTGATTCACCTTCGCAGGCACAGTTTCATCTAGTTTGGCCTCCTGGCCTGATGGCCTTCTGGGACTGAAGGTGGTGGGGGTATCAAGGGGAGAGGGGGTGCCTGTGACCAGGAGGGGAGAGCCTGTGGTAGGTCGGTGAGGACACAAACACCCCACGAACGCCTGGAATGTGGTGACCACACACAATCACTCCAGAGGCCGGGCCCAAGAGCTGTGAGCACACGGCGGAGCTCACTCCCCTCTTCTTTTTCCTTCCCCCTCCCCTTACGGGAGGAATACAAAGGCCAATCTACTTCGTCTATCAGAAAAAAAAGTAAAGAAAACGAGTGGGTATTTACTCAAGTTGGCTTCTATGGCTCACTAGCTAACCAGGTGGGGGATGCTGACATTAACTCCCAGCTGGTCATAATCTGCACAGCACAGTTATCACACACTTGTAAGAGGTAAGCACAGAGGACAGGGGGGTGTGAGGGGATCATGACCCCCTCATTTAACCTCCCTACCCCCTTGGTGGCCCTGAAGGTGTACACACCAGTTCAACATTTACTGGGCACTTCCTCTGTATCAGGGCCCATCTTTGGTGAAGGGTTCCAGAACCGACCAAGACCCGATCGCTCACTCTCGAAGAGCTGAGGGTCTGTTTGGAATGAGGGGCTTGGACATCTACAAATCTGAGGATGACCAGGGGAGTCAAAGGGCCCAGAAAAAAATCTGGGCGACCCTGTGGACAGCCCCTTGAGCTTTCAGGCACTCATCAGGTCCAGTGAACGGGCCTAGAGAAAGCCTGTCTGCCGCTGCAGGAAGGGCAGAACGGAGGGACTTCCGGTGACAGGGCTGTCTGTGGTGGCACCTAGTACCAGGGGCCATTCGCTCTTCCATGCGTGGATTATCAAGAAGGGTCTGAGTCACGTTCTGAGCCAGCACCCCTGGCCTTGTTTCAGGCTGGGAAGGAGCCCCAAGACACTTCTTTCTTGTGCCCACAGGTGGCCTCGGGAGAGGCACTAGGGCTCAGCAGTAGATTTGGAACTGGGTTTCTTCTATAGGAGCTGAGGGAGGCAGGAGGGAACTCTGAACTGGCGTGCTGTGAGCTCACGTGTGTCGGCTGCTCGTGAGTGGAAGGCCTGTCTGGGAGGTGTGGGCCTGAGTAGTCTCCAGTGTGGGACTGCTTTCTGGACTGTGTGTAGGACGGCGGCGGGCAGCCCGCAACTGTGGGCTTGCTCCGGTGTGGTCCTCTCCGGACCATCCAATTTCTCCATCTCCGAGGGTATGGGAACCTTGGCAAGACCAGCTCAGAGTGCACGGAGATGTCCTTCTTCCCACTGCGGAAGTGCTTAGAGGCTGTTGTAGCCTCTGCTGGTTCTGGGAGGTGGGGGACCAAGGCCTTTGCTGGCCAGGGCAGTGCTGTTTTTTGGGTACAGTATCGGGAGCAGGACTCCATGCACGGGTGTTCGAGGTCAGCCAACGGCCGTGGGTGATGTCTAGGTTCAGGCCTGGGGAGCTCAGGATTATCTTCATCCCCACCCCATTGAGCTGAACCCACTCCTGATCCCAGGGTTGAGCCTCATCTGCCCACCCTGGTCTGGCTCAAGGCCTGGGACGGGTCACCTCCCAGTCAGGACACTGAGCCAGGAGTGAGGTGTGTGGTCCCTTCCCCTTTTTAGGTCTCTGTTTTCCCACATGAATAATGAAAATGTTCGATAAGACTAATGGTTTTCAAAACTTTCTTAAGGAACCCTTGTCAAGTGCAATCTTATGTGGAGCCCAGTATATAATATAAATTAAAATAAAGCTGCTGAGGGGCGCCTGGGTGGCGCAGTCGGTTAAGCGTCCGACTTCAGCCAGGTCACGATCTCGCGGTCCGTGAGTTGGAGCCCCGCGTCAGGCTCTGGGCTGATGGCTCAGAGCCTGGAGCCTGTTTCCGATTCTGTGTCTCCCTCTCTCTCTGCCCCTCCCCTGTTCATGCTCTGTCTCTCTCCCAAAAATAAACGTTGAAAAAAATAAATAAATAAAAATAAAAATAAAAATAAAATAAAGCTGCTGTGAATAAGGTGGAGGGTGTGGGCCCAGATCTTTGTTCACATGGCTTCCTTTCATCCATAGACCGCCAGGTGGCCACTGAATTCTCAGGAGACTTCTAGGGCTCTAACAAATGCACTTTGAAGGCCACTAGGCGAGAAGGTCATTACAGGTCCTCCAGCTCTGATATCTTGGGAGTGTAACTTCCTGAAGCCACCGTAGTCTAGCCCTCACAGGCCCAATCCTCTCCTGAGTCCCAAAGGGAAGGTGGTGTGGGATGGGCCACTAGCTAGCTGGTGACACTGCCACACAGTCCCCAGGGAAAGCTGTTTCCTGAGGCAGCAGAAAGGTGCTATGTCCCCCAAAGTCACAGCTGCCACCTGGGGAGGCCTGGGGCCTGTGGTCTGGCCTACACCCCATTTTACCTCCTCCTCCTCCTCCAGAGGCAAGGAGGGCTAAGAGGCAGATGTCAGGGGCTGGGGTCAGACTCCCCTTCCCATGCTGCGGCCTGTCCCTCACCCGAAACTACACAGCTTGGCAATTAGTCACACAGGCCAGCTCCAGAGTGCTGCCTGGCTCGGATGAAGACACCCATCCTCTGAGAGTTCACTGGTTCTAGATTCTGTTGTCTGTTCCAGGTGCCTCCTCTGTCGGATCTTCCCAGAAGTCCTATCTCTTCCTCCACTTATTCATCTCCACTTCCTATCCAGGGACTTCTCTCTTCTAGTCACCAAGACAAGAACTCCTTCCCATCCGAGTATCCACCTGCAAACTAATCCTCCAATCAGTAAATTAATGCTCCAGGCGCTGAGAATAAAACCTCAGGGGAGGCCTTTGGCTGCTTTGAGCATGGCCTGGGAACCGTTTCTCTTGCCGAATCGAAGGCTGCTGGACCAAAACAACCACGGGGGATGGGGCTGGGTATTCCGTCCCCACCAGGTAAAGACAGGCTGGAGCTGCTGTTTTCCATGTCCTTTGGGGATTCCGGTTTAAATGTCGCTTAGGGGCCAGACTCCCCAGCCATGCAACCAAGTGAGATTCTTGTTATTGCCCTCGGGGGGGGGGGGGGTCCCAGCACCATCTGCTGGGCAGGAAGGATGTCTGTCTCCTTGAACCCCAGACGCTGAGCCGGCCGCCTCCCATTGTTCTGGCCTGTGGTCAGCCCCCCTTCTCAGGCCGACCACACAACCTGACCAAGCAATTCTCTGGGAACACTTCGGGTAGGAAAAAATCACTTTATTAAAGGGCCTCTGTCACAAGCCCCCCATTTCTGGACCTGTCAGATAGGCTTTCAGTAGAAGTTTCTGGTTGTCTTTCCTTCCAGTTTCTCTGTCCATGGCTTCCTGAGATTTGGCACTCTCGGCGGCATCTGGGGAAGGGCCGGTGACCTTGGGGTGCTGGCCCAATGCAGGGAGGGCTGGCAGCTGGCAGAGCGCCAGGGAGTGGCCAGCCCCACAGCCCACAAGGAGTCCCAGTGACGACTGCAGAGATGGCACAGGCTTCGGGGCCCAGATGTTGGCTTCGGAGCCGTCCCCGCACATGCCGTGCTCGTTCCAGCCCCAAGAGTAGCACGTCCCTCCTGTGGAAAAGAAAAGACTGCTGTAGAAGTGGCTTTGAGAACAGGGCTCAAACAATCAACCTGGGGACACAGGTAATATCCTAAACCCCGGTTTCCACGTGACAAGACCAAAGCTCAACCGTACTTGGTGGCTTGCCTGCCACCCTTGCTTCCACCCTGCCCTCCAGAGCCTTCCCAGTGTTTCTCACTCCTGCCACCCCACAGCTGTCCCTGTCCCAAACCTGGCCTTCCTCCTTCCTTCACCGTAACCTCCTCCCTCACACCCACCCCATAATCCAAGACCTGCCGACTCTTCCTCCAGAGAAATAGCTCAAATCCTTCCATCTCTCCATCTCTACTGCCTTCCCCTTATCCCGGCACCATTCTCCCGCGTGCTGGGCCGTGCCAACAGCCAAGGGACTAACTGGGCAGCTCACCATCTGCCCCAATCTTCAAAGAGCGTCTAGATGATCTCTGACAACTGCAAATCTAATCACATCACTCCCCTGCTTAAAAGACTTCTGTGACTTCCAATGCCCTTAAAGGCCTTTCTTTGGCCTGTGAGGCCCTGAGTGACCTGGCTCCTGACCACCTTGCTGCCCTCCCCTTACTTTCCCCCACCTCACTACGTTCCAAAACCCCTGCCTTCTTTCCATTCCTTACATATGCCTTGTGGGGCCTCCTTTCTCTTGAGGTCCTCTTTTTAATGGGCTCCAGACCTCCTCATCTTTTAAATTCAAGTTAAATGTCGTTCTGAGGCCAGATTCCCTGGCCACTCTATCTAACTTAGATTCTTGATATTGCCCTTGGACTTCACCCCCACGGGGGCCCTCGCACTTTGTGGTGGATAGATGACTTGTGTATCATGTGTGTACTGTCCCCTCCTCACTAGCCGATGTGCTCTACAAGGAGGGAAGGACCACGTACGTTTCATTCACTGCGGTATCTCTAGCCTGGTACACAGCTGGTGCTCAATAAGGGCTCGTTGATGAGATAAAAGATTGAATGAACACAGTCATACAGCCAGAAGTCTCTAGACCAGCATGATGCCCCCACACATCACAGCATCTCTTCCTAGGTTTAGACCCTTTCCTAGGGTCTAAACTCACTCGTGTTTTTTGTAGTCATTAAAAATTTTCTGCCCCCAACTTATAAAAATAATACATCTTCCTGACAAAAAAAAAATGAAAAATATGGATGAGTGTAAAGAAAAAGCAGACTTTGATCCTGGCACTACTATGTTAAACCTTTAATTTGTGAAATTTGTAAATATTTGTGTATATTTTGTTCTGTTTTTGTCCCTTACTAACACAAATATTTCTCCACAGAACTGCAAAGGGTTCAAAAAGAAAATTAAAAAGAATTTGTTTGAAATTTTGAAATAGTTCAATATGCAGAAAGATACAAGAAATAACTTAGCAGAAAGAAACATACTCCGTCCAGATTTAGAACATTCGTCAACATATCTGCTTCAACGCTTCCCTTAAAAAAAAGAAAATATACCAGTAAGATAACAGTTTAAGCCCTGCTTCCCGTTCTTGCCCTCCAGCCATTTCTGCTCCCAGGAAGGAGCCACTATTTTGAAGTTGGTGTTTGCTACTGGTTTTATACTTTCTACACATATGTCATTAAATGCCATGTAGCATTTTTAGTCTGTTTTAAAGATTTATATAAATAGTGTTGAAATATCTATCTTTATAACACGTGCCCTTTCCACTCAGTATTCTTTTTGGAAATTTATCCGAGCTGACACAGATCAAGTTCATTTATTTTAACTGTGCTCAGTATCCCCTTATGTATAAATCTTATTTGACTTATCCATTCCCCTTCGGATGGACAGTTCTTTGATGATGGCAATTGTTGCTATCTTCTTACACAATATATAATGTACAATATCATGTACTTCATAGTAATATTGTCGCTATTGTAAACAGCGCTGCCGTGAACACCCCTGAGCACGTCTCCCTGTACAGAGAGGCGTCTGCGCACAGCCGGTCCCCAGACGTGAGCGGAGTGGAGCCACACGTTTAGATTTAGATACAGCTAATAGCTGCCACAATGGCTGCAGTTACTTCCCGTCCCATCAGCGATGGATATGAATGTTTCCCTCGATCTTTACCTTCGCACTCTTTGCTATTCTGATAAGTACAATGAACCAATCTGCATTTCCCCGACTACTAGTGAGAGGGAGCGTCACTTCATTTATAGCCCTGAGTCGCCTCCTCTTATGAATTGCCTCTGTACATTCTTGCCTGTTTTTCTCTTTGGCTGTTTGTCTTTTTTTTTTTTTTTTTTAATGGATTTGTGAGTTTTCTTGATGTATTATTTTCTACTTTTTTGCTATTCTATGCATTGTGTCTTCTCCCACACGTCCATGGCATGTCTCTTCACTTTGCTTACGGTATCTTTTGTTAAACAAATTTCTTTAAAATGACTGTCTGATTGTCCATTATGGAGATTCAACAATTTCCTTAACCTGTATCCTATTAACAGATATGCAGGTTGTTTCGAGTTTTTCATTATTTTGAATAACTTGAATAATATTCCTGTGAGTATCTTTGCACATGTATCTTTTTCTACCTAGTATCTTCCTCAACTTAGATTCTTAAAACGGGAATTCCTGGTCAACTGGTATCGACATTTTTGAGATTCCTGAGTACTATTTTTAATGCTTCCACAATATTTTTCAGAAAGGCCACCTGAATACAACTATGGCAATCTGTGGAAGTTTCCGTTTTACTCCAGCATTGCCAGTATTTAGTGCTCATTATAATGTTTAAAAAATCTTTTCTAATTTGAAGACACAAAAAGATTTCTCATTGTTTGTATTTGTGTATTATTGCCATCAAAACTGAAAGATAAGGGGCGCCTCTGTGGCTCAGTCGGTTAAGCGTCCAACTTCAGCTCAGGTCATGATCTCATGGTTCATGGGTTCAAGCCCCACGCCAGGCTCTGTGCTTACAGCTCCAAGCCTAGAGCCTCCTTGAGATTCTGTGTCTTAGTCTCTCTCTGCCCCTCCCCTGCTTGCTCTCTCTCTCTCTCTCTCTCAAAAATAAACATTAACAAATTTTTTAAAAACCTGAAAAATAATTCTTACGTTACTCAGATATTTGTATTTCCTCTTTTGTGTATTCTCTGCTTCATATCTTTTTCCTATTTAGTATACAAGGGTTTAAGTGCTCAGATCCAAGAGCCAGATGGTTTGGGTTCAAATCCTAGCTCCTCTATTTATTAGCTGAGTGACCTTGGGCGAGTTACTTAGTGTCTCTGTGCCTCAGTTCCTTCATCTGTTAAATGGGGATAATAGTACCTTTATCATAAAGTTGTTTGCAAGCGTTAAATGAGTAAGTAGGTGTAAAATACTTAGAATGGTACTTGTCCCGTAGTATTATGTAAATATTTGTTATTGTTAAGAGCCTTCTTAAGAGCCTTCTTGTTATGTTAAGAGCCTTCTTGTTTTAAAGATTTTTATTTTTAGAATATTCTTTCTCTGCCATATCTAGCACAAATATTTTTTTCTTAGTTTGACTTAAAACTTTGTCTTGGGTCTTTTGATATAAAACATAAGCTTTATGGTTCTTTGTAGTAAACTTCATTGATCTTTTACAATTTCTTCTACTGCTTCTAAGAACTGAAAGCCCATCCCTGTCTGGATCAGAATGTATTCTTTTTGATTTTTCAACGATCTTATTTACTTTTCTATCTTTACATTTCACCCTTTCTCCACTGAAAATCTGTTTCCCAGACCACTCTTCCACAGGGGGAGGCTGGCTGGCCAGGGATTACCCTTCCTTTCCCTTTTCCTTTTCCCTGGTAGGAAGGCAATCACTGGCCAAAAGTTTGGGTTTGGGGAAACACAGATGTCTCCCTGTTTGGCCCACGAGCGAGGAAATGCACACAGAGAAGATGAGCCCCGGGCCGCAGCTCCTATGGTTACGCGGGAATTTCGGCCAAGTTGACGGGAGGCACAAAGTGGGAGAGTGGAAGAGGCTTGGTACCTTTGGGCCCTGCTCGGCACCTGGTGTGGGCTTCGCGCCCGGGCCTGGTGAGTGGCACCAGCTGACGGTCAGCAGGAATGGGGGTGGGAGGAAGGCAGAGCTGACCTACCACCAGGACGCGGCACAACGGGCAGCTGGCAGGTCCCTCTCCTCCTGCCAAAGGAAACACGCTCTGAGGGGCCGGGGTAGCCAGAGGCCTTGAGCCAGGGCTTTCATGCCCACTGGGTCGAGAAGTCTGGCAAAGGGCCAGAAATTTCTTCCCCCAATACTTCCAAAGAAGCCTACTCGAAGTCAGGTGCTTTATATTCTTTATCTCATTTAATTCCAACAACCCTGTGAGGCAGCCATGTTTTGTAGATTATTCTCGTTTCGTAGAGGATGAGGCGAGGCACTAGAAACCAGGAAGTGTGGCTCCAGAATCTGCACTAACTTTGCATATTATATACCAGGGCTTGCCAAATTTATTCTAAAAAGGCAGATAGTAAATATTTTAGGTTTGAGAGCCTCATTTGGTTTCTGTTGCATATTCTTCTTCTTTATTATAACCCTTTAAAAACCATTCGTAGCTTGCAAGGCCATACGATACAGGCCATAGCTCAGACCTGGCCTGCGGGTCACACTTTGCCAGCCCTTGGCATACATATACAATGTCCACTATTTACTGTGGACTGTGCTCCGCTGTCCCGGGTCCCACACTACCAAACGGCCGCGCGATAATGGTACTTCTGTCCCCATCTACATCATAAGGTCGCTAGGAGGAGGACTGCATAAGTGGACATGCCCCAGCACAGTGCCCGACACACGGTGACGGTCCACACCCACGTATGAGGCAGACCACAGGAAGGGGAGGAAAAGGCTTTAAGAAAGGCCTTGCCAGTGTCAAATGACACGGAGGAGAGGACGGGCACCAGCAGATGGGAAGGCCTAGGTGGAACGACACGAAGTTTGGGGTTTCTGAACATTTTAAACAAACTTCCTAAGTAAAAAAACAAAAACAAAAACAAAAACGAGGCTGCTGAACTT